GAGCATTTTCGGAAAGCTGCTTTTGCTGCTCTAAACATGCTTAACATAGATCTCGACTGAAGCTTTAAGGTTTGCCTTTTCCGCACAATCTTTACATGACTTGTAAATTTCAAGCTCATGTGTTTTTGCGTATGTACAAGTCAGGGGATTGACGCTTATCATCCAGTTCATCATCCTGTTCCTTTCTTACTCTCTACTCATTGAAAATATTAATTTCATGTAGTAGCGCTTTCCCAAGGTTGCTGTTCTCAAAATATGTATAAGTGATCACTGTCTCTTAAAGCACTTAAATCTTCCACTAGGGAGCCATCGGCCATGAGAACTGTGGTTCCTCTTTTCCCCAACTTCCTTTCTGCACTCACAGAAAATATGTTAGCCAAAGGTAAAAATCATACAGTATCTTTTCTTCTACTTTCTACTCCTTTAGCTTTGGATAGTAAAGGAATAATGCAACTATGATTGATGGAGAATGAAGATACTAACAAATATAGGATTTAGATAGATTTTAAAGTAGAATTTGATTTAGATTAATGTTTGATTTGGTTAGATTATTTTATTATAGTTTCTAGGTTGTCTAGAATTAGGTCATTGTTTCCTTTTCAAACTTGGTTTGCTTAGACTCTATAAAGAGTGTCAAGTTCATCGTAATACTTAAGACTTCGATTATGAATAAATTAATACTTTCTTTCCCAATTTCTTCTTTATTGTCTCCTCTTTCTTTTATTTCTTCTTATCTTCCCCTTCTTTCTCGTTCTCGTTCTCTTTCTCTTTCATTCTCAGTCTCATTCTTGTTCAATTGTGTTTGTCAACCCCGACGCTTTCTAGATTTTCTGGGAGACTGTCGTTAAAAGGGTTTAAGTTGGGATTTCCAGATCCCTTTGTGCATGAGTTGTCTATTTTCTTAGAATACCAAGTCATGATGGCGCTCACCTGCTAACATCAGAAGGTCTTTCATCGAATCAGGTAGATGTGCAAGTTTCCCCCCATTTTCTTCTTCTTGTTTGTCATCTGGATGATGCCCGTGGAGTACCACCCTTGCAGGAAGTGTATTCGATGATGTGTAAAATGTAGTTCTTCCTGCAAAACAGATAGAAGAATAATTTCTTTTGTAGTTGATTGATGTATCACCACAGAACATTTTTGCAAATTATCTTACGATTCACATGATTCTGTAGTATTCACTTTTGTTTTGCCCTTTCCCTCAAATTGCATGCATGTGAAATTACATATTCAGATTTATCACTGAAAATATTTGGTTTGGCATTTGATTGAACTAGTGGACAAAGAAAAGAAGTCAACTGGCAGTGTCTAGGTTGGCATACCTCATCGCCATCTAAGGTAGTTAAGGGAGTAAAAGGTAGATTGAATATATCAATCTCCCTTCATTCAAAAGTTGCAGTCCTATTAGAGCTCTTTTAATCTATATTTAATGACGAACCACTCACTTGATCAGTGATTTAGCTTCTTCAGTTCATTGGCAGGACAAGTGAAAGTTCCCTTTTCTACAGAGATGTAATGACACGATATTTCTATTACGGTGTGTGTGATTGCATTTATTTTCCATGGAAAATATCAAATTTCCATCCAAATTCCTACTTGAGAGTGTTTGACTACTATTTTTTTCATTGAAAATATTTTCCAACTTTTGAAAATATGCATAATTTTCCTTGTTTTTAAGGAAAATATTTTTCTTGGAGCGAGTAGTTTTTGTTTTCCTCAAAACAAGGAAAATATTTTATTTTATAGGTGATATTTTTCATGCCAATCAAATACACTATAATATCTTCTAATTTGTGTTATTCATCAGCTGTAAACTTTTCACAATGTACTGCGTAATGCACGCAAATAAATATGAGTTGAGATCTTACCATTTGATTCTTGGCTCAGTCCCTCGTAATTTTGTGGTTCACGTGCGGATTGTATGGCCTGAAAATGAATAAATGGTTCATGCATACCATTAGTATTTCACTGCATCTTGCATCAAGCTTTAGTAATTACTGTGAAAGGAAGTCTGTGATTGGAAGTTCTCATTAGATTGGCAAAATGGGAAAAAAAAAAAAAAAAAATACCTCAATGTTTGAGTCAGCCAGATAGTCTTCTACAAACGGTATCTCCTCTAGCTCTTCCCTTTTTAGGCCCCTCAAATACTGAGAATTGGAAATGTCAGTCAGTCTATACTTCAATGCTTGGGATTTTGAGGTTGCTGATCGAAAAGAGAGAGGATGAATCCAAGAAATGACCAACAATGCCATGACAGTAATATCCACTAGTGTGTCAGATACATAATTCATACTAATAGGACAAACTATGATCTTTAATGGTTGATGAATTCCCAAGTTCTAGAATTCTGACCTGAAGAAAATTAGAGATAACAATCTTCCCATCTTCACTAAGCGGCTGCACCAGTTGCTTGAAATGATTATGACTAATCCGAATGACCTGGGAAAGCCTCTTTGTTCTTACTGTGAAAGGTTGAGGGATATTGAAGATCACACCAATTTCTCCAAGCATATCTGGGGACATTAA